TGTTCTGTCATCATCTAGTGAAGATGAGAGAGAAGCATTAGGGACTGGGGATTTGTTGGCGGAACCCCCGTCTCAGTCCCTTACCTTACCTGTGCCTCAGGTTGGCCCTAGGGGGGAAGACATCCAGCTAGGCGCCGCTTGGGGAAACGGGGGCAGGGGGTCAACTCCTGCCAGGGCAATCTTGCCAGCTCAGTCCGCCCCCGTTGTACCGTCTGGTTCGGGTCTCTCACAGGATTTTTTCTATTCAGTCTACCTCAGGTGCTGCACAAGTTGGGGTTGACACGGACTCTTCAATGGAAGACAACTTGCCTGTTCCTGTGAAATCTTCTTCCGGGGGGCACCATCGCCGTAAGAAGTGTTCCAGAAGGCGTTCCAAGAGGAGGAGGGTCGAGACTTCATCTTCCTCCACTGGTATGTCTTCTGAGAGTTGGGGGGACGAGACTGACTCCTCTCTTGACCTTTATTGGGGTTATGGAGAAGCCGTCGGCGGATTGCCAGGGTGGGCTTGGCAACACATGGCTAATTCACATAGGGCTAGGTATGGGGCAATCCTTGATTGGAAACGAGTTGGCCTTACGAGGTATGGCTGGCCCTTTTACGTCACCTCCGTTTCCTAATTTGCATATTTCACCTTTGGGTATTGTCCCAAAGAAGGCTGCGGGGGAATTTTGCCTTATTCATAATTTATCTCACTCTAGAGGCACGTCAGTAAATGACGTCATTCCCCCGGAGCTGTGTTCAGTGAAATATGCATCTCTTGATCAGGCGATCAAGATGATCAGGAAATTTGGCCCTGGGGCCTTGCTGGCGAAGTTTGACATTGAGTCGGCATTTCGCCTGCTGCCTATTCATCCTGAGGACTTTTGGCTGTTGGGATTCCAATTTGAGGGGAAGTTTTATTTTGACAAGGCTATGCCTATGGGCTGTTCCATAGCATGTGGTGCCTTTGAGTATTTTAGTACCTTTTTGGATTGGGCCTTGCATGTTAAGACCTGCCTGGGGGGCATGTTCCATTATTTGGATGACTTTTTGTTGGCCTCAGCACACGGCACGGGCAACTGCGCTGTGTTACTGGAGACCTTTGCTTCTCTTATGGGAGACCTGGGGGTCCCCTTGGCGTGGATAAAACAGAAGGCCCAGCTACTCAATTGACATATTTAGGCATTCGGTTGGATACCAATGCTCAAACATCCAGCTTACCCCCAGATAAGATAATTATATTGCGTAAGGTTATTCAGGAGATCCTTCCGTTGCGGAAGGTTACTCTGAGGCAGCTTCAGTCATATTGGGTCATTTGAATTTTGCATGCAGAGTGGTGGTGCCTGGTCGCCCCTTCTCCTCCCGTCTGGTCAGGCTCACGGCTGGATTACGGGCCCCACAGCATCGAGTGCGACTGTCCGCGCAGGTACGGGAGGACCTGCAGGTTTGGCTGGAATTCCTAGAGGAATTCAATTGTGTATCCTTGTGGCAGGACGTTTTGAACCTCCACAATGATTTTCAGGTGCACTCTGATGCTGCTGGTTCATTAGGCTTTGGGTTGTACTGGAATGGGAGATGGTGTGCCATGCGGTGGCCACCCGAATGGCAAGGGGAAGCGATTACGCGAGACTTAACATTTCTCGAGTTTTTTTCCCATTGCAGTAGCAGTGCATTTGTGGGTCGCTGAATTCAGGGACCGTCGGATTTGTTTCTGGTCCGACAACCAGGCGGTGGTGAACGTGCTGGCAAAATAGTCGTCCCTTTCTCCCAGGGTATTGGCCCTTCTGCGGGCCTTTGTTTTCCATTGTCTGAGGTTTAATATTGTGTTTTTGGCACGCTTCATCCCCGGTATATCTAACGAGATTGCTGATGCTCTATCCTGTTTTCAGATGGAGCGATTCTGGTCCCTGACTCCAGAAGCTCAGAAGCTTCCAGAGTATTTTCCTCCACCCCTCTGGAATCTTGGCAGCACTTAGTCATGCAGGGAGTAGCAGCTTCCATGTCTGCGTCCACTTTGCGATCCTGTAAAAAGGCTTGGGCTGACTTTTTAAAATTCACGCAGTCGGTGTCCAGCAATTTTAAACCCCCTCCTTCCACTTCTCAGGTCCTGCAATACTTAGCTCATTTGTTTCAGCTGGGCCGCGCTGCCAGAACTCTGAGAATTCATTCCACAGCAATCTCATTTTTTAGCAAGTCTTTGTATGACAAGGACCCTTGTAAAAGGTTTGTGGTGCGAAAGGCCATGGAAGGGTGGGGCAGACTTGCCCCCCCCGGACAGCTGCCAGGCGTCCTTTCACATTTGAGTTGTTGTCCAGAATGCGCTCCAAGTTGAGGAGTGTGTGCTGGTCTAAATATGAAGCACGCCTTTTTTCAGTGGCGTTTCCATTAGCATTTTTTGGAGTCCTTCGGGTGGGAGAGGTTGTAGTGGAGTGCAACTCAGCTGCTGGTTCCCGTGGGTTGCTCTTCCAGTATATTAGCGTGTCCCCCCTGGAGTTGAGACTATTAGTGCGCAATTCCAAAACTGACCAGTTGGGTCGGGGGGAGGTTATCCGCCTCCCTGTCACAGGGGAGGCGGGCCCATGCCCTGTCAAGGATGTAAGGAGGTGCTTGGCCTTGAGGCCTCCTGGGGATGGTCCCTTGCTCATGCATGAAGGTGGTCGCCCTCTGGCGCGTCACCAGTTCGCAAAAATCATGCATAAAGTTATTGCGGAGTGTGGGATCTTGGCATCCGGTTTTGCCCCTCATTCTTTTCGCATAGGGGCAGCGACCATGGCAGCCCATTGGGGTTTGTCAGCTGCCAGGATTAAGGATCTGGGGAGGTGGAAATCTGATGCCTTCAATGGTTCTTTTATTACTAATGCTTGTTGTTTCCACTTGTAGATCCCTCGCCGGTCCGCGTCTGGATAGTGGGACACAGCATTGTTCATTGGGCTGGCATCAGAGCGAGGCAATCTACCAGGGGATCGTGCCTCGGCCTCCCTCAGCACGTGCAAGTGTCATGGATTTCCAGACGCGGAATGCTGTGGGAAGAGTTTTTTGCCGCGTAAGTGCTGTGACTTGTTTGCAAACAATTTGAGGTTGAATCTCAAACGGTGTCCAGAGCACTGTCTACCCTGATGTGTTGGATGAGGATCAGTTGGTAAGATTCAAGGACATTGCCCCTTGCCCCTCTTGTCTGAGGATAACTAGCAGGGAGGGTAAGGCTGACTGGCTCAAAATGTGATTAATGTCTCGTTGCAAGAGGGGGTGGTCCTTGCCTACTTGAAGGAGGCAGTAGTGTGTCATCATCAAAGATGGGTTACGTGGATCTCCCCCCAAGTTATTTCACAGTGGCCCTTGGAGGTGGGACATCTGAGATCGGACTTTTGGGGTCCAGTGTCATATGACATCTTCAAATATACTCTAGAGGGGTGGGGCATAACCAATAGACAGGAGTTAGTATACTAATACTACTGATGCCTGTTGTATGCATGACCGAAGTATCCTGCCAGGCTGCTCAATCAGAGGAATTGGGGGGGGGCAGTGTCTATGGCACCCTGTCTGAAGGCAACTAGGAGAGACAGGCAGACCAGTTGCTATGCCCATCAACTTTGGGAGGGACCGGCTCCCTCAGGCATTTTATGGGGCTTGGAGGGGAGTGAAGTCCCCTTGGCACATTGGAGAAGCCTCCTATGTAAATTGATGTTTGTTCAGTGAAGGTCAGAGTGCATATCCTTTCCCTTAGGTATTTATTGATAAAATTTAAAAATGGGGTGGAGGTTTCAAGGAGATTCAGATCTTTAAAAATAGAGTGCCTCCATCTTGGAATAAGATAATACTACAAATTATTGATGATTATGATCTTCCTTGAGATATTCTGAGTGTATTAGATATTGAGGTGCCACCTTGTCATATGAAATTTCATATTTAAAAGCATAATTTCATGGTCAAATGTGCTCCTTGGAAAGTTTGTCCCAAGACATGTTGGCAGCTGAAGCAAACCACAAAATAGTGCCTCACCATTCCAGGGAAGAAGAGATAAGTGCAGATCGACATCCGGAACAATGTGAAGGGTGAGGAATATAGATCTCCACAGGAAACAGGATAGGAGGAGACCAGCAGCACCTCCTGTTGGCCAAGAGGCCACTGAAGAGGCAACCTGATTTTTGGGGAGGGGCAAATCTGGTCTTTAAGAAGCGCAGTGCGGCTGTTGTTGCCACTGTGCCAGCAGCAGGGGCAAGGAATTCCTTGGAGACCAGATCTGCTGCCCCTATGGACCCAGCCGCCTAAGATGGTTGCCTCACCTTGCCTCATGGGGGGGGGGAGAGTCCTGCACCTTCGTATGCCAAAGTACCCATTCAGGCCCCTGACTATGTAAGCACATCACAAATACCAAATGGGGAAAAGCTTTTACAACTCTGTCATAGTTGAAGGCTGCTCTCGCCAGATCCCCTATGTCGTTTGCCTATGTAAAGGTAAGGGGCCTGAAATATTCACCCAACTACTTACTGGTTTGTTCCATCTATGAGGACTTAAGAGAAGCTTTGTTCAAATATTTAAATCTCCCAATTGAGAGATGGGTTGGTTATATGCTGAACTATTTATTAAGGGACAAATCCCCTTACCCCTCTGAAAAATTGCTCTGTTTTGCCTTTACAGTTACGATTATAAGGAAAAAGGTTTGTAGGGATCAGCACTATTTTTCTAGATTTGCCGGTGCCAGAGTTCACCACGCTCCAATGAACTCTGCCTTAAAATATGCCCTAATTTAAATCTTTCAAAGGAGAAACCTCTTATCTCAGGAATCGTCTGATTCTAATAAGAATTTTAGTTGTGCAATGTGTTAATTTGTTTTTATTCTGTTTTATGTATTGCGTCTTTCGTAATCGGTGTGGCTAAACAATAAATGATAATTGCATTTGTATCTGAAACAAACAGATCTGAGAACCAGCATTTGATTCTCCATAACCATTTATTTTGCATTGTAATCGTCATAATGAAAACTTAACTGTTTTTTAATGATACACAACAGGATTCTTTGAAGTTAGAATCCACAATTCCCATATTCTGACCTCTTTTTCTCTGCCCCTTGCTTCCCTTTACTTCAACCAAAAGCAAAAAAGAAAGAAACAGAGATCCTGAGTCCTGAATTTCAACACTAGGCCTCCAATTCCCCCTCATTGCCATAGATTTTGGAGGTCTACACTGTCCCATTCACTCTTCATGTTCAGGCTGGTGTGAGATTCGTGAAGCATTGTAACAACTTTCTTGGGTAAAAGAAAGGAGAAAGTCCCATCTCCGATTATTGTTCTTTGATTGTTCCCGATGGCCACAAAAATCTGTTGTTCCACAACCTTGGAAAGTGAAACTGTGGGGTTCAAATGCACCTGGGGGGGGGGAGAAATGTTGACATTAGTCCTTCACTCAGGGACTAGGAGATGGTGCCTGTGATGGTGAATGAGAATTTTAATAAGTTAGTTTTTAAAAGAGTATATTTAAGAAATCTGAGAAATATCATAATTTCGTCAGAACATGAATATACAAAATTTTCAACATTAGAAGTTCAGGTAAAAAAGTTAGATCAGATATAATTTAAAATTGCTATCATACCCAAAGGACTCTCAAGACACAAAGAATATTAATAAACAGGTTATACCTATAAGATATAATGAAATCAGAGGATTGAAAACAGGCCTAATTGATAAGATTAACCAAATCAAATTATTGTGGGCAGGTGAGTAGCAATAAAATGGGAGGAATTCTATCCCCCCCCCCATCTCTTGGGCATATTAAAAGTCACATGCTACGGCCACACAGCAAGATCTGAGAACAACACTCCCACCTTGGTGTCTGAACCTTGAGTGTGTGAACCTGCCATAAGTCAACAGAGTGATCCAGCAGCAAAAAAAGCTGGAGATGCACTTCATTGTCTCTCAGGATGGTTGGGGGCCAACTGAGGCTCCCTCATTGCCCCACTGTGATCTAAGTATCCAGAGAATCCTCCTTTTATTTTACCATATCTATTTTCATGTTAAACACATCAAACATAAAGCAGGTGAAAAAGGCGAATCCCAAGGGCCAATCAGGTACTCACCTCGGAATTCTTACTCAACCCTTAAAAGAGAAACTAGCAAAGCCAAGGCTGTAAAGGGCAGCAGAAATAAGAGAAGAAAGAATGTAGGGCAGAAGCATCACAAAAGGCCTGGAAATTGCCTCTGTTCTCCTGAGGCAAATCAGCCATATGCCCCTCCCCCATTCATTCCAAATTCCCTCCCATTGTAGCATTATTCCTGAAAAATTTGCTGATAGGAGGTCTCCATCTAAAACTGGTTCTAGACACATCAAAAATTGATTTACAGTGGTACCTCGGGTTACAAACACTTTGGGTTAAAGATTCTTTACGGATGTAGCTAAATCATGACATCAACAAAATAATCTATGGTTGTAGAAAGGAACATATCCTCTCTCTCTTCCTCCTTTTGTGTGTCCCCTAAATGAATTCTGGGGGTTTTCCCAATTCTGTGGAGCAGATTTTGGGAGGATTCAGAGCACATACCTGCAGAAGAGAGAGGAAATTCTCTTGCACAACTGTAAATCCTTACACTAATGGTCTGAGTTAACCAGATACTGCTCATTGTCACAGAATTTAAGGAAATGTAATACATTCCTTTTACATAATAAATATTTGTTTTGAGCAAGATGGACACATTTTGTCCTGGACTGCATCCCAGTGGTGGAGAGATCCGGATTCAACTGGCGTGAAGCAATCAATGCACTTTTTTTACTTTTGTTCAGAAGGGTATTTTATATACACATCTCACTCTGAATCCTCCTTCCGGACAAGCAAGTGGCATTATGAGAGTTAAAGGACACAGACCAGGCAGGCAAAACAATACGGAAGGGTGCAGAGTGGGGCCAGTGAGAGATATGATCCCTCTCATTGTTCGTGCAACATGCAAGGGATAAGGAGGAAGGGAGAGAAGGAGACAAGGAGAGAGTCTGCATGACCAAGAATTACTAGGGCTTTTTCCCTTGTCTGAGTAGCAATGTTACCGGTAAGAAGAGCTAGTGTGGATTGAATGCACTGGGTCTCATTCTCAAGGCAGTTGATGGTCTTCTCACTTTTACACATTATGGTTCCTTTAGAAAAGCAGGATGGGCACTGCAAACCATTTTCAGCCAGCATGTTGCGATCAGGAACTGCCAAAATCAAAAGTATAGTGAGCATGTTAATGTCTTCGTCTGTTTTGGTATCTCTGTGTTGTATTAATGGAATCCACCCTAGGGCCTTCCAGTTTTGGTGGGGCAGCTGCAAGTACTCTTGGATAAAATATAATCTAGACACAATCTGGGTTCAGGACTGAGCAGGGGACAAAGTCACCATAGTTCTCTGAGATGAATGACCTTTACATAAAGGGAGGTGGGGGAGTGTGAACTTTCTTCCCTTCTCAATCTCTCAGAAGGTTTTCCTGACATGGATTATGGTGTAGCCTGTATGAAAAGGTATACTCTTAGTCCCTTATTTTTGTACAGAGTTTCTGGCTCTCTTTTGCACTTCCGCAATGAACTAACCATCACTTTCTGTGAATTCCCTAAGACCTGCAAGTACAGGGCAGTATATAAATTCAATAAATAATAATAATTAGGAATAACTGCCAGCTTAGTCAGTACTTATTTTGTCAATTAAAAGACTGACCAGAAACAGTTCAGGGGTCATTTAGGAGGACACCTGGATATGATAGGTGGGTTGCAACCATCTAATTTGGACCATCAAATTGAATGTTATCTTAAAGGGACCATAACCTGTTTATGAGCTGTTCATGCACCTAGGTATCCAATTATATTGCATGAAATATCATTCACGGCTAATTATGCATAGGGAATGTTATAAAGCATGACTAAGCCACTTCTGGCAAACCAGATCAGCGCACAGAAATGCTGTTTACCTTCCCGTCGGAGCAGTACCTATTTATCTACTTGCACTTCATGCTTTTGAACTGCTAGGTTGGCAGGAGCAGGGACCGAGCAACAGGAGCTCACCCCATTGCTGGGATGTGAACCGCTGAACTTCTGATCGGAAAGCCCTAGCATCTGTGGTTTAACCCACAGCGCCACCCGTGTCTCTAGCTAGGTCCCTCTTTTTCACAGTTTCTCCTCATGACTGCCTCCCCGTCCTGCCTGACTCTCCATCCCTTGAGAGCCCCTAATAGCCCTGAGCTGCTCAACCCAACCTATAGCCACCTGGGGCTGTCTCACCCCATTTGAATGAGGCACAGATTCTTTAAGTACTGCTGATTGACTAAGGATCCAGGCCATGGCCAAATTTAGTGCAAAACCCTAACATGTTAATGATTCTAAATTGATGCAGAAACGTACGGCTGAGAGTTGCATTGTTACACAGGTCAGTCTTGCAGCAGTGCTTCTTCATCTGAAAGAATTTACCATCCCCTGCAGTGAAGCTGTAATGGCCTGAGGAACAGCTTGTGGATGGCAAGCATCTATTCAAAAGTTGCTCTCGGAATTTCACTATGAAAATAATTTGACAGAAATATTTAGATATGGAGGTTTATTGCTCCTAAAACACATTCATTGTAATGGTTCCAATTTTCTGTAATGTCTGAATGAGAACCTTTTCAAACAAACAACATGCAAAATATTATTAAATTCTGCAATCTAAGGTGATGGGCTTTATTAATTTATATATACGTACACACACCTATATATCATTGAAAGAAAAATATCAAAATGATTCCACTCATAATACATAAAGCATACAATAAAAACTTTGTGAAAAGGAAAGAAACAGATATCAATTAACCAATGGAAAGATGTATTCTGAATGGCTTGTATGAGCCTGTTGGAATACAAATTTTTCTGCAGGCATTTAAAAGATGCTTGCCAAGGATGGGTTGAATAATAGTGAGAGTAGAGAAGCCAATATAACTCAGATGATACTACCCTGGCCTTGGCTAAGTTCCTCTCAGAAGTAATACGAAATAGAAACCTACATACTGTGGATAAAACAATGTGACCACCTTTTAATCTTCCCTGTATTTCTTTTTTATTTTGCTTTTGAAAATGATATTGTGGGTCTTTCAACCGAAATAAATAATGTTCTTGTTCTTGGCAGTATATGTTGCATTTTCAGCTGAATTTGGGGGAACCAATTGAAGCAGCAATTTTGCAGAGCTATTTCAATGGCTTTTGTTTGATTTTCTCAATGCAAACAGCTAGAAGTCTGTAAAATTTGATGATAAACCCGATTTGCCAAGGGGGCGTGAATAATTTTGATTGCAACCGTAGTTTGTAAAATACAACCAAAGCTTTCAAAGCTTTATTATGATCATAAAAGGTAAAGGTAAAGGGACTCCTGACCATTAGGTCCAGTCGTGACCAACTCTGGGGTTGCGGCGCTCAGTAAAAGGCATTAAATTTGGAATGAATGTAGAACTTCATTTCAGGTCCAATCTGCAGCATGAAGAATCATGGCTTCTTCTATACTTCTGACAATACATGTGCCATACACTGCATTCTCTCTGCTAGTCGATCATAACCATTTACAGGGTGGGAAAATACTTCCCTGAACTCCTGTTGCCCAACCCAAAATACTTGGCAGAGGTTTAAAGACTGTCTCAAGGCAAATAAAAAAAAATGTAGCATCAACAGTGACAACTGGGAAACACTGGCCTGCAAGCACTCCAGTTGGAGAACAGCCTTTAACAAAGGTGTCATAGGCTTTGAAGACACTTGAACTCAGGACGCAAGGGAGAAACATGCTGGCAGGAAGGCACACTTGGCAAATCCACACCTTGATCAGCTCCTGTCTGGAAACCAATGCCCCCATTGTGGAAGGACGTGTGGATCCAGAATTGGCCTCCACAGTCACTTACGGACTCATTGTTAAAACCGTGTTTATGGAAGACAAACTTACTTAGCTACAAGTGATCGCCAAGGAAGAAGACTTGGCAGGGCACTTCAAGTGCACCAACCTCACTGTCCCATCTCCCCTCTTCCTCCAAGTATGTAGCAATGATGTAGGAACAGATGGTCAAGTGAGCACCACCATCCCACCCAGAATAGCCCCAAGGTATTTTGGCACCTGAGGCAAACCACAAAATAGTGGTTGAATATGTACATCAAGATGGATCAGGTGATTTTAAATTCCCCATTTTCAAATGTTAGTGATTCCTTACTGCAGGATTGGGAAGCTGTGATCCTCCAGATGCTGCTGGACTACATCTCCCATCATCTCTGACTGGTGGCCAGGATAGATGAGGCAGATGGGAGTTCTCATTCATCTACAGCTTATGTGCCACAGCTTCCTTACAACTAATTTAGTAATTCCAAAAACAAAAGACAAAAACAGATAAATCTTACCTAGATTTGTACGCAGAACACTGGCAGAACAGGAATCTTGACCAAATTTACAATATGTTCTTTTATAGTGATCATATGTCAGTCCAGTCTTGTTAAATGCGTATCTGCACTTCAGAGGCAATGCTGAGGACAGGAGCAAAAGATTAGTTCATGGATTGTTATTGTCATTAACATTCTTATTATTTGGTTTTGAGGTTTCCTTCATTTGACACAGAGAAGGAGGTGAGAGAGAATTAAATCTTTTAAATGAAATGGGGTTCAAGTTAACAAGATCTTTCAATAAAATGAAATGAGTAAAAGCCATTGGCCAGAACACTGGTTTAATTATTTCCAAGAGGTAAACCCTCCCTGTCCAATGGCCCATTCCCCCTCCCATCCACTCTATCACTTCAATGCCTCTTCAATTACAATCTTAGACATGAGCTAAGATAAAGGAGCAATGGCCAGATGAGCAGGAGGAAGGCTTATCCCATCATTTAGGCATGAAAAAAAGGCATTGTGGAAACTTGGTACCCTGTGCAGGAAAACTCTGTACCATCACTTACTAGACCTGTTAAGCAGAGTTAAATGAACAGGGTTAGATCCAGGTTAAGAGAGTTGGTCTTTAAGGGTTCTACTAGCTATGCTAGGGCAACTCACCTATGAAAAATGTTGACAATGTTTTTGCGTGTGTTTTTTTGGAGGGGGTTAGGACAGTTAGGGGGGGGGAGAGGGGACTTCCTGGAAGCACATACTGTTCTGCATGACATGGACAAAGTGGAAATACAAACATTTTGATCCCTCTCTCGTAAGACTGACAAAGCTACCAATTTGAATGGCCTCACAAAAGGTTTAGGCAAATGATGCAGAATTAGGCTACCAGTGGCTGCTAAACATAGTACCTTCAGTTACTAGCATATTTCAAATATCATTTAAAAATTCTATCCAATTTAGTTGCTCTTGGCTTCTAATTTTTTTGATTTATTTGTTTTCTGCCCTTCCTCCAAGCAGCTCAAGGCTATGTACATGGTTCTCCTTTCCCCATTTTATCCTCACAAGAACCCTGTGAGGTAAGTTAACCTGAGGTATTGTGACTGGTCCATGATCTCCCAGTGAGCTTTGTGGCTGAATGGGGATTTGAACCCTGGTCTCCTGGATCCCTGTCTGACCCTCTAATGTCCAGAACACAATAGCTCTCTTAAATTCAGCTCTCCGGATTCCTCTGTCCTCTAAATATTATTACTGTAAAAGTTCCCCATCCTATTGGTTCCTACTTACCTGGAGAAAGCAGGGCCAAGAGGAGGCATGTGCTCAGGAGTGCCTTCATCATTCTAGAAAGGGAACTGATGCACATAGAGTCTTCCTTGGAGGGATTTATAGGCTACGTGTTTGTGCTGCAGGCAACCCTTTGGCATAAAGACATACAGAAAATGATGAAATTCAAAGCTCACTGTTGAAATTGTCTGAATTATTTCACCACAATCTCATTAGTTGTCAACAGGCACTTTGCAAATTTTTTCTTCTATACAGTTACCGTATTTTTCGTTCTATAGGACACACTTTTTCCCTCCTAAAAAGCAAGGGGAAATGTATGTGCGTGCCATGGAGTGAATGAAGGGGGGAGGCAGCCGGGAAAAGCCCCCAAGAGCTGCACACAAGCTCCGTGCACTCTTGGGGGCTTTTCCCCAGGAGGGAGAAGGGACTGACTGGCCGCATCAGTCCTTTCTCCCACCTCGTAGAAAAGCCCACAGGAGCCACGCACCCTTTAAAGAGCGTGCAGCTTCTGCCGGTTTTGCAAGAGGTAGAAAAACCTCGTAGAAAAGCCAGCAGAAGCCACGCAGCCCCTTTAAAGAGCACACAGCTTTTGCGGGGCCACTTTTGGGGGCTTTTCCCCAAGGAGGGACAAGGTACTGACTGGCTGCGTCAGTCCCTTCTCCCTCCTCGTAGAAAAGCCGTCAGGAGCCGTGCGCTCCTTAAAGGGTGCGTGGCTCCAGTGGACTTTTGCTGGAGATGGGGTAATTCCCCCACCTCCCTCAAAAGCAGGGAGAAGGTCTGGGAGAAGCGCACAGGCTGCAGGCAGCCTGTCCGCTGCTCGCGGAGCTGGGGGGGGTCATTCCCCCCTTTATTTCCCCCTCTGAAAACTAGGTGGGCCCTATGGTCAGGTGCGCCCTATGGAGTGAAAAATACGGTAATATAAAATTTAAATTCTGACAGCACCCAATAAAGGAGCTGAGAACCAAAAATGGCAATGGCAAAGCCCGGAAGCCACCTACAAGAAACCCCCTCAATGCAGTCTCCATCTAAGGATTCCTCTTCTAAAGAAGAGAAAAGCCTGGATACTAGATCCATCCCAGCAAGGCTGCGAAGTATAGGATGAACTGTGGTTAAAATGTTGACTTCATTTCACGTGGCTGCAATGGAGGTTTCAACCAGTAAAACTGATCCACACAGGAAAAAGGAGGGTGACTCAGTGGCAGCAAAGCAATCACTTCAGGGGCAGGCAAGTAAGGCTGTGGTAGAAAGCAGAATGGTACCTCTGGATACGAAAACGTCTGGCTACGAATGATTCAGGTTATGAACTCCGCTAACCTGGAAGTAGCTGCTCCTGGTTGCAAGCTTTGCCCCAGGATGCGAATGGAAATCGCGCGCAGCAGGAGGTCCCATTAGTGAAAGTGCGCCTGAGGATAAGAATGAATTAAGTTCTTAACCAGAGGTACCACTATAAGGTAATGTTACTGCAGGACCACAAACAGCTCCAAATGAGCAACTTGTTCCAAGAAGGCTGAAAAGTCAATTGAGACCATGTGACTATGCTCATCATTAGAAGTAGAAAAAATAATTCTGATCCAATTCCTCTGTTTTTGCCTTCGCTTACTGAGTTGGAGATGGGACGCGGGTGGCGCTGTGGGTAAAAGCCTCAGCGCCTAGGGCTTGCCGATCGAAAGGTTGGCGGTTCGAATCCCTGCGGCAGGGTGCGCTCCCGTTGCTCGGTCCCAACGCCTGCCAACCTAGCAGTTCGAAAGCACCCCCGGGTGCAAGTAGATAAATAGGGACCGCTCTGGCGGGAAGGTAAACGGAGTTTCCGTGTGCTGCGCTGGCTTGCCAGATGCAGCTTTGTCACACTGGCCACGTGACCCGGAAGTGTCTCCGGACAGCGCTGGCCCCTGGCCTCTTAAGTGAGATGGGCGCACAACCCTAGAGTCTGTCAAGACTGGCCCGTATGGGCAGGGGTATCTTTACATTTACTGAGTTGGAAGGAACAATATAATTTTTCTCTTCTTCCAGGCTACTGATCAAAGTGCAATCAAAGCCTCAAGGTACTGCTCAGGTGACTGCTCAGCTGGCAAACTAGACATACCTCAGGGCTGTTGAAAGGTGCCAGGGACACACTGGTAGGCAGTTAATAGAATACAGTAACTCTAAGATTATTACTGAGAGCTGATTAAATCATTTTACTGAACTTTGCCCCTCCTTGTTCTAATTGTGTCAGATTGTTGTGAAAGGCAGAGGATACTTTGAGCCAGCTGATTTGTCTAGTGATGACTAGACTTAGCCACATTGTCTTGAACTGAATCCAGCTACGTAGTTGGTTATCCCTGCTTCAAATCCCACCCTCCATTTTCAGAAGACAAGAAGAACCCTGCAGTCTAGCAGCATCCTTCTTGGAGTGGCTGATCAGATGTCCATTGGTACAGGACTATCATGACAGGAGGGCAGTCGCCCACTCCCCCTGTTCTCCCCCAGCAACTGGAAATTGTATATCCATCAAATTAATTGCCACTGATATCCTCTTCCATAAATGTGACTAGTCTGCTGTTAGGTCTATCCAACTGTGGCTTTCACTGCTGATGTGGATTTTCTATAGCTCAGCCAGTAGAGCATGAAACTCTCAATCTCATGATCGAGTCCCATGGGGGGAAGTTACAGTGGTTGGACTGGATCAATCTTGAGGTCCCTTCCAACTCTACAATTCTATGATTAAGTTGAAAAATTTTGCTGATGCAGATTATGCTTCACTTCTTTTCTTTTTTAAAATATTTTTTATTACATTTTCAGTGTTTTGTGATCACAATATCCATACATTAATCCATATGCTCAAACATTGGTCTATCCGAGCATCGACCTCCTCCCGCCCCTTTTTCTGACTTCAGTACGTAATTACTTTATTCTTAGCACTTCTATAACCACTTTTTTACCTTCTCTCTTATTTTTATATTTCCCTTTATTAAATGTAAATCAGTTCCTTATATTGTCATTACAAAACATTTCAACTCACAGCTACAAATGTTTTCAGATATTTACAATATTCTTTCATATATAATATAAATTTGCTCCAATCCTTTTGAAACAGTTCATCGTGCTGATTCCGGATCTTCCCCGTCAGCTTTGCTAACTCAACGTATTCCACCATCTTACTCCACCATTCTTCCAATGTTGGAATCTCCTGTGATTTTCATTTCTGGGCCAGGAGTATCCTTGTGGCCGTTATGGCATACATAGATTCATCTCCAATTAGACCTAACAAAAATTTCCGATGTCCTGGAGAAGGTAACCTAATGTTTCTTAATTATTTTGCTTGTGTTTAGTAAGTTAAAGAAAAAAGAAAAGTATTCTATTTAACGATTAACCCCATAATATCACAAATATTTTAGCTGAGATAGTTGAAAGGAGGGGTAAAGCATGGCTTGTGCAGTTCAGAATCTATAAGCTGTATAATAATTTATGCAGTTCATAGTTCAATCATGGAACTCACTTCCATAGGAGGCAGTGATGGCCACCAGCTTAGATTACTTGAAAAGAGGATTAGACAAACTCAGGCAGGGCAAAATAACCCACAATATCTATGTTCCACCTCCAGTTTCAAAGGAAGTTTGCTTCCTTCCTTGAAAGCGAAAGATATTTCTCAATTTTCCACCCCATCCCTCACCAATAAATATATTTGGCTGGAAGGATTGGAGCAAACTCCTAGGGATTTCAGCACACTCCTGTGCACTTTTGGTTGAAGTAACAACCATTTATTTCAAAGGGGTTACAGTGCAATTCTATACCTGTCTATCTAGATGTAAGTGCCACTGATTTCAATGGGTCTTACTCACAGATAAGTCTGTATAGTTTTGTATTGCAACTTCCTCAAAGTATACTTTGGAGTTTTGGTTTCTCTGGCACTTCCCTTTATCTCCACTGCCTCAAACGCTTTTCCAGTTGAAATAACTATTATAATGCTTCACATATCTAACACCAGCCTCACATTGATGGGTAATTATGGTTCAGCATAAATCTCCTCCTTGTGAATTCAATAATTCATAGCAATGTGAGGGTGATTACTAGTGGTGAGAGTCAGGCTTTGGGATCCCTGTTTCTTCCTCTCTCTTTTTTCTTTTCTTCTTTTTTTTCTTTTTGCTGTTCATGGGGGGAATGGGATGCAGTACACAGAGAAAAGAGTGCTGTCTATCATTGTGGTTATTATGATAAATATAAATGATTGTGGCAAATAAAAAGTTGCTTCTAAAATGTGTATCCTTCAAATCAATAGTTTGGAATGGGGAAGTATGGTATTTCCTGATATAAAGCATCAAAGTTTTGTTTTTAATGCAAAACTGCAGGCAAGCAGAGATTTGACAGTTTTTGAATGCATGGTTATGTCATCTAAACCCAATGCAAGATGAAACATCTCTCAAATAAGTGAAATGATAAAAGAGTTAGAACAGGTGGTGAAAGAGAATGGCTGGGCCTAATGATCTTTGTTTCTTCAGGTACCTTAGCCTTTTAAAAACACAACATAGAAAAAGTCATATTCAAAAGGCAATGGACTTTTACGCCAATCCTATGGTCCTCCAGCTCTGACCATTTTGCTTTGTAAATGTTCTCATATTCTCCTTACACTTCAAGAGTCCATTCACCTTGGAGACAAATTTATTTTAAAGCTGATTTAAATGCATACGCCTCAGCAGTCCTGATTTGGCCGGAATGGCTACGGAATTCCTTAAGCTGTCCTGGGTTGTGCCTTGATTCCAGGGTGTCCTGATTTCTCCCTGCCAGCAGGGAAGGGTCACAGAAGCAGCTCCTGGGGTGGCAGCAGCATTGGGAAAGAGACAGGAGGGCTGCTTCCCAAAGCCTAGTTAGTGCTTAAAAGGCTTTGGGGAAAAGGCCGTTTGACTCCAGAATCCTCTCAGAGTCCTCACACCTCCTGCCAGAAGCACCTCCTTTTGCTAATTCTTTCAGACCAGAAGGAAGGGGCTTACCCAACCATTGCACTGCTCCCACACCTCTGTATTGTTTAGCCTGGGCAGTAGTCGAAACCAACTCTTCAAGGAAGAAGCATATACT